CGTGCCCTCTGTAGAGCTCAAAATAATTGTGCTTCCCTGGAGCACAAAAGAATTGCTAGAGCACAAAAGAATTGTGCCCCATAGAGTGCAAAATAATTGCTCCCCCATAGAGCACAAGTAATTGCGCCCTGGAGCGCAAAAGAATTGCGCCTCGTGCCCTCTGTAGAGCTCAAAATAATTGTGCTTCCCTGGAGCACAAAAGAATTGCTAGAGCACAAAATAATTGCGCCACATAGAGTGCAAAATAATTGCTCCCCCATAGAGCACAAGTAATTGCGCCCTGGAGCGCAAAAGAATTGCGCCTCGTGCCCTCTGTAGAGCTCGAAATAATTGTGCTTCCCTCGAGCACAAAAGAATTGCGCCTGTTGTGGAGCTTGAAATATTTGCGCCTCTACAGCACAAAATAATTGCACCCCCCATAGAGTGCAAATAATTGTGCCCCTTGTGGAGCTCAAAATAATTGTGCCTGTAGAGTGCAAAATAATTGCACAGGTTAGGACTCACCAATGAGACCAATGGGTGTAGTGCATCAGTGCCATAAATCCCTGCCAAAGTGGGCCAGGCATTGACTACAATTGGGGGGGCACATATTTTTTGTGCAAAATAAATGCCATAGGAACATAGTGACTTGGCGCCCATTCACATACACATTCACATTGGGCACACTTGACATTTCATGCAAAAAGATAATGGGTGGAAATACAACTGGAGAATAACAGACACAGATGCATACTTAGTGCAGGTACAAGTGATTTGGCACCCACTCACATTTGGTGAACATTCACATTGGGTGCACTGACATTTTGTGTGCATTCACATTGAGCGCACTCTGACATCTGGTGCCCATTCACATTGGGCACACTCTGACAATTGGTGCCCATTCACATTGGGCGCACTTTTCATGCATTCACATTGGGTACACTCTGATGGGCGCACTCTGACATTTGGTGCCCATTCACATTCCAACATTTCATGCATTCACATTGGGCGCACTCTGATATTTCAGGCATATTCATGTTGGGTGCACTCTGATGGGCATACTCTGACAGTTGGTTCACATTTACATTGGGTGCACTTTTCATGCATTCACATTGGGCACACTGACATTTTGTGCCCATTCACATTCCAACATTTCATACATTCACATTGGGCGCACTGATATTTCGTGCACATTCACATTGGGTGCACTCTGATGGGCACACTCTGGCATTTGGTTCACATTTACATTGGGCGCACTGACATT